CTGTCTCAATTTTGACCAATCAGAAACAGCTTGATAACCCGTCGTGCAAATTCCAAACACAATACAATATTCTAGGTAGGTTTCCAATTTGGTCTGCGTGAGTGCTACAAGCCTGTGAGCAAAAATAGCATTGACATTTTCGGCTTCATGGTCGTGGGTGCTGCGACGGCAGCATTGCATGGATGTTCAGTTCCAGGCGACGTTCATCAAGCATACGTATGGGTATTACCTGACAGAGAGTGGCAACCGATTCCGTGCGAGGTATAGTGTAGATTGCACCATCAATTGAACGAGTCGCTAAGAATTTCAAGCAGACGAACATGTGTGCCATCCATGGGGAAATGATCAGTCGGTTGCATCGAATGCACGAGGATGCGACAAGGGTATGCTGGAGAGCGATCCAACGAAGCTCCTGTGACCAAATCTCTGTGCAAAAGCTGGCGTTTGCAGCTGCATCGAGATCATGCACCTCGTCGTCAGCCACGTAGCATTCGGGATTCCTAGTTGTCATGCATATACCTATGGTCTTGAAAGATTGTATTTTACATAGCGAGGAAACTTTGAATCAAAACACACTCGACGTTGTCGCGGGAGTCACTGCAAGCGCATTCGGGGTGGATCGACCGTACTTGGCCAAGAACTCCCGGACTGCTTTCGTGTACCGGTCGGGGCTGTGGCTCAAGTGAGCGACATGCTTGGACGTTTCGAAGTTGACTGCTTCGGCAGGGGTGTTGAGTTGCTTGGCGGTCGTGATGGCATACTCAATCTGGTCCGGTGGGATCATCACGTCATTGTCCGAGTACAAAAACAGCTTCGGGATGGCGGCGTCGCGATGGATCAATCGCTCAAACTGGAGCTCAACGGGGTGCGTGTACCCGCACACGCGCACGACGAACGCATGTAGGACAAACACGGCCGTCAGAATCCACATCATGGCTTGGCGCAGGATCGGGTTCTTCATTTGAGCTGTGAACGCGGCAGGCGCCGTGCCGTGTGCATATGGCTTGGACGGCGCCGAGTCCAAAATCATCGTCGGCACTTTGAACGGCACGCCCGCTTGGACAATATGGTTTTCAAGGCAATACCATGACCAGCATCCGCCGTTGGACAGGATGTGCGGTAGAATGACGACGGCGTCGTTGGTGCGAGTCTCCGATTCGACCCAAGCTTGGAATTCCAGGAACGCTTTCTTTTGCACGGTTGATTGGGGCAGAAAGAGGTGCCACGGGTTCGAGTGCAGCACAAACGTGCGATAGCCCATCGCGGCATACAATTCGACGTACTTTTCAAGCGGCCGATGTTTGGCCATGAGCCACCCGCAGATCACGACAACTGTCAACTCGGTCATGTTTTTCGGAAATGATTAGGCAATGCGGCGGCCTGCGATCCCTGTGACATGGTGCGTTGTGATGCGTCGCCAGGTGTGAATGACACGTCGCCAGGATGCGTCCGCCTCTGTTGTCCCGCCTGTATCAATAGCTTTCGCCCGCACGGCGGCATACAAGCGTCGACATGATCGCCACCAGATGGAGTCAAGTATTCGGAATCATGCCTCCAAACCAAGAGATACCCCAGCAGATTTCAACCATACAGAGAGTCGTATACTGCACCACATCGCTGCTTGTATGCAATTGGTGTCGAGTCGACGAGAAACATTCAAAACACGCAAATCGTCCCAATGCCGTCGCCCTTCTCGTCGACAAGTGCAGCGCACGGACGGGCACCCCGCAATTCATGACATGCAACTTGCTTGTGTCGTTACTGGTACATGTAGCCTGGTGAGACAATATCGCCCACCGTCTATTTTCCTAGTGGCACCCGGACGCATCCACCCTTCCTGCGCTTGGAAGATTTGATCTGGTTGCTGGGTTCATTTTACGCAGCGTGCTCATGTCGCAGCTGAGCAAAGTGTGTTAGAGCGAAGTGTGCGCTGGTTGCTGTAGGCTGCTTCGTACAGCACACAACACGGCAACTCGACGACCCAACGATTTTGTAGTGTGCCGAAATTTGCAAAATGGTTTCGTGCGTTGTTGAAATTCAAAGAAATTTTCTCGTTAGTTCAGGTGGTGCCTGGCGCAAGCTGCTGAATGCAGGAACGTGATGTACGGACGAACAATGCACAATCCAGCACACCATCATCACCGACTGCCGTCGAACGCTACAAAGCAGCCTTGCCACCAACGACAAAATGCGCAACGAACTCCCGGATCGACTTGACGTAGCGCTCTGGATCGACCGTGTAATGTGCCACGTGGCCCGACGTCTCAAAATCGACGGCGATCGCGGGCGTGCCCAACGACTTGACCGTAGCGACGGCAAACTCGATTTGGTTGGCTGGCACGATGCGGTCGGCCGCCGAGTACAAGAACAGCTTGGGAATTCCAGCGCCTTGCTCAATGATCCGCTCATAATTGACGTCAATGGGATGCTGGCGGCCCAGTGACATGGCAATACACTCAAACACTCGCATGCATAGCCCAAGGAGAGTTGTGAGTACTGCGCGCACAATTGTGTTTTGGATAGTAGCAGTGAACGCAGCGTCTGTGGAGGCATACTCACGCGGCTTTGTGGGGGTTGAATCCAGCACCATGGCTGGGACCGTGTGGTTCAATCCCAAATTGGGCAAGTGATGTTGAAAGCATACCCACGACCTTGCGCCACCGTTCGAGAAGATGTGCGGCACGATCGCCACGCTCTGATCGCTTGCACTGGAGGGCACGACGGTGGACAGCCATGACCGGAACGATTCAAAGCTCGATCGGTGCACAGTATTGGGCGACTTGAAAAAATCGGACGGCGTCGACAGCAAGACAAACGTTTCGAATCCCATGGCGCGATAGATCCCCGCATATTTGTCCACAGTGCGTGGCTTGGCACCCATCCATCCGCACAGGAGCACCACTGTCTTTGTCATGATTCGTGTGGTTGGGCAATGGCGGCGACACAGCGCTCGTCGTGCATGTGATTTCGATTTGGGGAAGACTCGTCATACGTTTCCCACGCACATATGGCATCAAACGTTCCCACGGTAGATATTAAATTATACAATAAAACGCCTCGTGCCCAGCCCGACGACAATGAACAGACATATTATATAGTACGGTACATCTATTCGGTGGAGTTTATTTATTTTTACAGTTTGTCTTGTCCCATTCGATAGGTGTGGCGCTGGCTTCAACAATATGAAGTTTGACAGCCGACCACCACCCCTCGTGGTCGATGCGGCGCGGAATGGCTTCGAGTTGCGATGAAGCGTAGGGGGCACAACCATGTATCGATTCAAGAGGGCCACGGTCCAACCTTGGCCAAGGTGGTCGTTTTGCATGCGAGCGCCCCGAGCGTGATTGTATTCCGTGCGGTTCGAACTACAGCTGAAGGATCGACCAATGCCGTCGTCTGCGGGAGGTCGTAACGAGCCGCTGCGTTCGGAGCAGTGGGCTCTAGTGAACGCAAATCCAACAGTGACTTCATTCCCGAATGAGAAATGTTGGCTTTGGCCAATCCCTCACCGTGATGGTCTGTCTGCGTCCTCATGTACTCTGCACCTTGCACAGTCTGCCTACCGAATGCTGTACAGTGCAGAATGTGACCAGCTCAGGCTTGTCGACAGAGACGGACGGGTTACGAATCCAACCCGTGCACAGCATGCAGCACCGATATCGACAGTGTACGTGCATGTCGAGACTCAGCGCGGTGAACAATACACCTGCCGACACCGAATCTTGGATCAATTTGTGCATTCCTGCCGACACCGAGCGGTTTGGGAAAGGATGCCGTGGAACGAACTTCCTCGTGATGCAAGTGTGTCCGTGCGTCGTATAGCCCACGACAGGTTCGATTCGTGCACGAGCTGCGCGAGGCGTATTGCTCAATCCGTTGTGTTTCGCATGTGTTTCCTCGTTCTGTGTTCATGTCGATGCCGCGACGCTCGCAATGGCCACGTTATTCCACCATCACAGCCACGCCAACCAACAAGCTAACTCGAGAAGCATCAGCATCCAGGCCTACATGAAACGACCGCCGCGGATCTGCGCTCCGCCCGATTCCGCAGCGATGATCCACTTGCATCAAACTTGCATATCGAAAGATGTCGGTCGACGTTTTATTCGTAGGAATAAACCTCCAGGTTAATTCTGGGATTTCGACTGTGAAACGCGGCCAAGAACACGTTTTATTAAATAACGCTGTCGACAACTCGCGTTAATTACCCTGATTGGATCTTGCGCATTTTCCTTTCACCACAAGTTTCCACCAGCACGATGCCGGCGAACGAGCAGCCAACGTCGGCGAAGTCTCTACCTACGGACAACTGGCCGACCTCAACGACGCGTCTCCAGCATGAAACTGAGTCGCTGTGTACGTCGTTTTTTGTTCGGTTGGAGACGCTGCCCCAGCACGAGCTCGAGCAGCTCCAAGCCGCGGGATTTCTGAACGATCGGTTCGAAGTTCGCCTGCTCCGAGAGAAGCACGTGCCGTACTTGGTGCGCGGTCTCGAGTACCTCCCTCCAGGCTTTGCGTCGATGGATGCATCTCGCCCTTGGTTCATGTACTGGATCTTGCATTCCCTGGAGTTGCTCGACGACGAAGCCGACGTTGCTGCATTTGCATCTCGTTGTATCAACACGATCCAGCGTTGTTGGTGCTCCCAGCTCGAGAACAAAGGAGGATTTGGCGGCGGAATTCTTCAGCTAGGCCATTTGGCCACGACATATGCGTCTTGCTTGGCCCTAGCGATCATTGGGACTGCCGAAGCATACGCCATCGTCGACCGGCCAGCTTTGCTTGCATTCTTCCTCTCTCTGAAGGATCCAGAAACTGGAGCATTCCGCGCGCATGACCACGGGTCCGATCGCGCTGAATCTCCTACGACTAAACTTATTTCCTTAGGGAGCTTGACGTTCGGACTACCTACTGCGCCATTTCGATCGCGGCGCTGTATGGCATCCTCACGCCGGAGCTCACATTCGGGGTCGTGGACTTCGTCAAGGCATGTCAGACGTACGAAGGAGGCTTTGGGCCGTTTCCATTTCAAGAGGCGCATGGCGGGTACAACTTTTGCGCCGCGGCCATCCTGAGCATCTTGGACGGATGGGACGCGATCGACGAAGATGCTTTGGTGGTTCGTCTAGACACAATCCGTTCTTATGGCGCCGTGTGCAAGCTCGAACTTATACTGTGAACAGCACTACATTGCGCATCGGCAAATGGCCGTCGAAGGAGGATACCAAGGCCGCACGAACAAACTTGTGGACGGGTGCTACAGTTTCTGGCAAGGCTCAGTGCCTGCGCTGCTTTCGCTCAAGCGAGGTACACACGCGATCGAATGCGGCCGACGTCGTCCTCTACGTGACCATCCATTCGTAGGCCATTACGTGAGCAACACAGAAGCCCATCAAAAGTACATCCTCCTCTGCGGCCAGCAAATCGAAGGTACTTCAACTTGATGACGTGGCACGCTGCTGAGCGATGCTGGTATTTTTTACTAGGGGGACTCCGGGACAAACCCGGTAAATCCCGCGACCACTACCACTCGTGCTACGTTTTGAGTGGGCTGGCCGTGGCACAAACGTATGGGGACAAAGTGGTCGGGGCTGGGACAAACAAGTTAATCCCAACCCACCCAGCCTTCAACATTGGATGGGACAAAGTCCTCCGCATCCAAACGCACTTTGGGATATTGGGAAATACACACATAGATCCGATGGAGTAAACTCAAGAATGGGAAAAACGAGGTGTCTACATTAAGTGAGCTTGGACGACGGCGAGTGGAACGTCGACAGGGTGCGGCGCCGCTTGTGCCGCTTCTCTTCAAGCGATTCCTTGAGCGCCATTTCCTGGATGTACTTTTTCTGGAGCTTGATGAAGGTCGATTCGATCGGCATGTCCTCAGCTGAACCGCCCGGTGTGGCTCCAGACGCTCCCGCCGGGATCGGGTCATCTTTCGGGTGTCGTGGAGGTTGAGGGATCGCAAGGACACGCAACAGAAGTACTCCTCGCGATTGCACGCGGCGCAAGAGTGCACACAGGACAGCGTTCTGTTCTTGAGGCTTGGCAAAAACTGACGCAAACCATCGTTTTCGCGATTCCACAAATGACGCGTGGATAGTTTGCAAGTAGTCGGTCATTTCACGTGCCGCATCCGTGTACGCATCCACTGCGCAGGCTTGAGCACGGGAAAGGTCGTCGATTCCTGTCAAAAGGTCCTGCAGCAACACCACCATCACGTCGACTTCGTGGAGGAAATCGGAGTCCGTGATCTCTCGCATGGCGTCCGAGATATCCAGGGCAGATGATGCGCACGACGTGATCCATGTCTTGAGGCTCTCTAGCGTTGTGATGGCAGGATGAGGTGTGGCGATCGATACCGTCGGCGGCACTTCCGGCGGCGGGGTGACCATCGTCATTTGGAGTGTTGCGCGAAAACCAAATTTTTGAATAATAAACGATTTTGATTGGTTTAATGTCAAATACGATTCTTTGATTGGCTCAAAGTCTAATATTTATCGCTGATTGGTGAATCCAACGACAATGGGCAAATGATTCGCCCACACAGTAAAGACACCTACTTCTGACGTGGCGTCACCAGGACACAGCGCATGAATCTTCTACACGGCTTAGCGGAGGTGCATGGCTTTGCAGTGGCTACGTCTTTTTCTGCTTGCGTCGACGCACTGAGGGCAGACAGCTTCTGTCCCCAGGATGAGCAGCATGTGCTGCCGTTATGTCGGTTTCACTCTTGCAATGATCACATCCGAGAAGCGGTTCGGGCCCAAGTTCTCGACGGGGCGGGAAGAGGAGCCTGTACAGCAGCGTCAGTGTCAATGATCCAAGCGGTAACTTTGTGATGCTAGGGGCCGACGGCATACACTCTCCCAACTGACTTCGACGCGGCAGCCAAAGTCTCGGCAACGACGACTGGATTTGGCACTGCGCCACGAACGAAGCCATTATCAAAGTCAGTCGACTACGGCACGTACAACCCAGACATCCCTGGCGCATTTCCCAACGTATACACCGTTGAGCAATGGGAGGCGCAAAAGAAACTGCATCAAGAAGACGCCAGCATGCGCATGGGGTGCAAGTCTCCCAGGTCGCCCCCGCCACGTATCCAGGTCGCGGCTGGCCCAGGATCGTATCACACGGAGTTTGATATCGCAACAAGTGGTCGCGAAGGACACTTTAGCAAGGCAAAACGGCCGGACTTAACGTCGTACATGGAGTCGTTGGGCCAGATTGGAGACAGCCCAGGTATGGACCTCACACGTGTGATAACGTCACGTTTCAACTGAATGGGGGAGCAGGGCCAAAATATATGCCCGACGCAAACAACATCGCCCAGCGATGTTTGAAAGCCTCGACGGTGAGTGTTGACTGCTGACCACAGATCGATGAGTGCTTGTCGTGGTGACGTGAACGAGGGGTTTGTAGAGGGGGTTTCCTCGGCACAATTCGTCGCCGGGCGCAATCGACCAGTCGCTCATGGAACTCGACAAATCGTTTCAAAAGCTCAACCGTGCGCTGGCAAGCCCGGTGCTATGGGTACCAAGGACACGGTCGATTGTGAAATTGGATATCAAACAGTCTGGTAAGTGACTGCTTCATTGCCCACGTCACGAGGCTTGCTTGAGCGTAGGGCCGGGTTCGTACAACACAGGAAGCGACTTTGTGAAGCGATCGACGAAGAAGGGGACATTTGGTACGGCAAAACAAATGGACATGCTGTCCAACTTGGTGGCTGCGGGGCATGGTACGATTCGATCTGTGAGTGAAGGGTATGGAGCAATATTGACCGAGGGCAATTGCAGTGGGCCAAACACCTGTCGGGCCTGGCCAGTACGACATCGAATGGGACCCCTTTGGTGGAAAGACGTACAACACGAAGGCTGGTTATGTGCCTAAGCAGACGGGGCATACCGCTCTCGAGTACGTACAGCGCCAGGCAGCGCCTCTCGACGGTCAAGCGTCATCGAGTCTTTAGCCCGGTGCCATTGAAACCTCACATCAATCCTTCTCGAATACTTGACCCGTCGGGCGCTGGTGAACTCGATGCCCTGCCCCCGCGGGATATCTGGCGACTCATGCGGAAGGCTCCGGACCCGAAAAAACTCGGCTACGACAAGTAGGGCCTCATCGTGGTTGTGTTTGGCATTCCTTCAATTTTGATGGACGTAGTGGCGTCCCGAACATCGCGCAAAAGCGCCACTCGCGGCCGAAAGTACAACCACTTCAAACGATTCGAGCAGACGTCCCGTTGAAAGAAGTAGCGACAGAATTACTTCAGAACGACACTAGCACGCCGCAGCCAGCTCATGAATTCACCCCAGATGACAAAGCCATGATGCAGATCGACCTGCCGCCTGAATCGGAGGATATTTCGAGCTTTGAGCTGTAATGCATCTGTGGTGTCTATGTTGGGGCAAAATATCGCCGATCTTGCAATTCCTCGAGAGTTTCCATGGCTCGTCGATGGCACGACGTCAGAAAGCACCATGCACGCTGGAACAGCACTGACACGACGATGCCATCGCCCAGCACAACGAGCAATGGCCGGGCAGAGTCATTCGGATCTGCCGCAAAGAACATATACAAATTCACCACCACGGCCAACGTGTGAAACACTAGCGTTGCGTTGAATTGGGGGGCTGCCTTGGCAAGCTGGAACAAAGGTGCGCGAGACATTGGCCGCCGGCACGTCGGACATGACGGGCTCCGGCGCAACCACCGAGACAAGCACGCGCGGCAAAATTCATGGCTGCACTCAGTGTGGAATCCATCCTCAGGTACTTCCATGCAAATCGCGCACACGTCGCGTCCGGCGCCATACATCGCGCATCAACGAGTCCTCCAATCTCACCTGTTGTAGGGTATAAGATTGGATCAAAATGACTTACAACCCGACGACAGTTTCAACGTGCCAACAAATGAATGGCGTCGCCACGTCCATCTTGTGGACGTTCAAATGACGTTGATCATCACCGCTCACGGGCGCTGGAGTCTGTTGCCTGGCGGGCAATCATGCCATGGTCTTCGTCAGCCCCTCGCAGACGAAATGCGTATAAGTTTGTGCGGGGTCAACCCCCAATGGAACCTTGCAAGACTAGGTAGCGCACCCCGACGTATTTTTAGTACATTTGTGCATCCAATGTGAGTATTTCGACGAGCAGTCGAGACAATTGTCACTCGGACTCGGTTCTGACTCGAGGATACGAACACGTCGTCAAGTGAGATGGAGCCACCTCCACTAACCAAAGAGCTGCCACGGTGACAGACCATCCATGAAAGTCCAACTAACTGGGCTCGTCCTTGCCATGACTCGTGTGGATGTCCTCGTGGCCCGACCGCAATATTCTGCCAACATTCCAAACGGCGACAACGTCGACGGGTACCCTGCCTTGGGCCACACAGGCAGTGACGGAGGCGCCCTCAACTCATTTGGAAAGGGTTACAGTTCGACCGGCCGATGGTCTCTGTCGCTGTGCATGCGCGACTCGGACGGAGATGGACTCACGAACGGCCAAGAGCTGGGTGATCCGTGCTGTATTTGGACGAAGGGAGCGATCCCGAACCAAACTGTGGGTCTTTCAGACCCAGGGCTCGGTACCAGCGCCAGAAACAAAACCGACGCTACCATCGCATGTCCTGAAAAGAGCCATGCGATGTCGCTCGAAGCGTTCACTCCTCCCTCGCTACTCTTTCTTGTGGGCATGGCCTTTGTGGGCATGGCCTTCGTTGAAATTTAACATCGCAACCTCGACCGACAGTTCTGGCCCCGTTGTCCTTTGTTCCATGATCAGGGAACCCCCAAACCGAATGGAAACCTTTTTCTACCCCTGTGCGCAACACGAATGCATGAAACCAGTGCATTCCTCGTAATTTCATTCAAATTTCCCAGCTTCGATGAACAAACCTCTACCTTTGGTCGACTTAAGGGAAATAGAGTAACTCCATGTTCGGGCATTCCCCCATGGACACACCATCGGGCATGTACCGTCCATGGATCCAGAGGTGGCACAACTAAGCACACAATCTTAAATCGATTATATCCCAGGTCATCCAGAAAAAGGCACATGGGAGAAATGTGAACAGAGCCAAACTCTCGTCGAGTGACGTAGTTACAGCCGACTGCACGCCACACTCGCCGAGGGATTGTGACAACGCGTGTCACCAGCACAGTGGCAACTACAACCCGACGACAGTGTCGCTTCGGACTAGCCAATCAAATCATAGCGCCCACCAAGCAACCCGCGACACCACAGTTCATCGACCTGTCGAGCGAGTAGTCCGCTGCATCATGGATGCGGTTCATTGTTGTGCGAGCCTAGATCCTGTGCGCCTTCCAAGCGTAGACATGTTGGCAGTGCTTCTCTCGTTTTTATAGCAGTGTACCATCCCGTTGTCCACGGCAATTCCACTCCATTGCAGGTTTCTGTTTGGAAAACGAAGCTCGCAGTCACCCCCACTCTCTGTCCATGGTCGGTCAGAGCTGTATCTCTCACTGATGAAGTAGCCGCTGGTCCATGGGTTCGTTGTGGCCCTTGGTTCTGCACGAGTCTGGGCCTCCGAGCGCAAAACACCGCCATGGCGACAGCATCGACGGATATCGCGTCCTTGGTCACACGAATATAACGCAGGCGGCGGCGTCGTAACGACGTTGGGGAGGGATGTGGCATGTTTGGGCGATGGACGCAGTCAATTTGCAAAACCGACTTGGACGGAGACTGGCTCACGAACGGCCAAGCGTTCGGAGATCCGTGCTGAGGGTAAAGGTCGAAGGCAGTACTAGAATAAGGTTCCGAATTTAAAAGCGGTCAAGATGTTCGCATGCAGGCGCGCCCTGCCCGAGGATGCGTTTAAGGCTCGATCGTCGTCGCATCGACGACCATCCGTTGCCGACTAACTTGGCCATCATTGTCATAGTCCGCCACGTTGAGCGAGCATTTAGAATTGTCAAGTTTGGCGCGTTCGGCCCCGAATTTGTTGCTCGAAGATCAGGTCGGCCCATCCAATGAACAACTCGGTGAAAGTGAACAATTTCAATCATAATTTTCATGAGGAGCATATCTCCAACAACTGTCGAAGGCCTTCATGCTCTAACGTAGGAAGCTTGCCTGGACCACATATCGATGCAGAGTGCTCTAGGCTTTTCGTGGGGGCAGCATCCCTGGAGCACTTGAAAACTCACACGAGAGTTGCTATGCCGTTGAATCCTATTTATAGCCCGACGTATCTTGTCGGGAATTTAGGTGTAGCATCATATCTTGGTCGACGAGTATGGCGGAAGGGTAAGACCGCGATGTCGAGTTGGTCCCAAAGTGGAGTGTAAGCCAGTTCCGCAATTTCCCCTGAGCACGTATGCCATTGCTGCTTCCACTCATTGCTAGCGCCATCGCAAGCGCTCTAGTCGACGGCCGTCCACAGTACGCTGCTCTGATCCCGAATGGAGAGAACGTCGACGGGTATCCTGCTGTGGGCCACACGAACGACGCGGGGGGCGGCGCCCGCAATGCGTTTGGCAAAGACTTTAGCTCGGAGGGGAGCTGGACGATCCGGTTATGTAAACTCGACTCGGACGGCGATGGGCTCACGAATGGCCAGGAACTTGGCGATCCTTGCTGCACGTGGCAAGTAGGCGCGACCCCCAACCAAACAGTGTCGCTCTCCAACCCAGGTCTGGTCGGCAGCGTGCGCGACAAAGCCCTCGCGACTTCGGTCAAGTGTGAAGGCGACAGCCCAGCCATGTCAGTGCATTCCGTTGTATCTTGGGTCCCAATCATCGTGGCGGCAGTCATTGCAGTCGCCGCTGGTGTATAATTCACTGCAATAAACGGATATCCCATGCACCCTGCGATCTGCTCCGTTCGTTGCTGCAAACCTTCCCCTCTCCGATGTGAGCCGAACGCCACGAGAACAGAACCTCAGGAGCAGCAGGTACAAGTCTCTTTTAGTGGAACTTACTTCGGCGACGGCAGTGAATCTGGCTAATGCGGTAAAACAACGTCGCGGGGTTCATGTATTCAGCAGTGGAGGCGGCACTGGCGTACAGCATCCTTTCGAGTTTTTCGGCGAGGGGCGGCACCTTGGCCAGGAGCAGCGTCGTTGCGTGGGGCTTCTGGGCCCTCAGAAGAACAATGATGGAACGCAGAACGACGTGGCGATCGTACAGCGAGATCATATCGCTGTGGAGGCGGGCCTGACCTCGGGCAAGGGGGCGCGGGGGCATGGGACAGCGCCGTTTTTGCGGCACATTGTGGAGCAAGGAGGGGCGGCTATGTGTCATGGTGGTAATCGAATTTTAAATGCCCATCGTCGCAGGTGATGTATACCCCTCGGACGGATGGCATGACGAGGCCGAGTGCACCCGCAACACGTCGAGCGTCATGGTTGCTAATGAATCTGTCGCTACCCCTTGGCTTTACATTATCCGGATCAGCCTTTACCCGGGTTCTCGACGTTTTCGTATACTAGCGCATGAATTATCCGGACAATTTGAAGTTCGTCTTGATCGGTCATCATCGATGCGCTTGTCAGCATGGTTTATATCCATCCGTCCAGGGTTGCGTGGGTGCTGCCCCGTGTTGTCTTTCGAGATGGCATCGCTGCTTCAATTGGAACCGTTGAAACGAATCGTCTGCGGTCGACGGCACAGCTTGTGCCAAGCGATTCCAATCGGGATGAGAGCGCGGTATACGTCCGAGCAGCTTGCTTCAGGTTGGAATTGTTGCTCGTTGTGTACCGCTTGTTGTGGCAATGGAGAACTTGCAATCCAACCACGATGCACGTGGTGCAGTGGAATAGATGTAATTGGCGACTTCGAAGCGGCAACGAGGCACAAACGGCGCACAAGATGAATCTGTGTCGCGGATTGGGAAGATGGTCGATCGCCACGCTTTCGTAGCTACCAGCGACCTTTTCATTCAAACAGAAAATGTGGGGCTCGGCATCCTCGTGTCTGCACAGGACGCCATCAAGATGTAACATCTTCAGTTAGCGGTTCAAATGCACAAGGCGGCGCCTGGAGCATCTTCACGCATTTCAAGCACTGGCACATGGACAGCATACATCTCGCGATGTTGTGCCCCCAACATGTCCATGGAGAGTTCTGTGTACAAGTCAGCCAAACGCAAGTGAGCCCCTCACAATCAGTCTTATGGACAATTGGCTTTCGCCTAGGCTTCCTTTCGTGCTTCTACAGCGCAATCCAAACGTCCATTTCAATGGCGCCGCGAGCTTCCGTCGTCATGCAAGCGGAGCAATCCGCCCAGCGTCAACAATGATTGGGTGGAAAAGTGTATATAATAGCTTCAATTTGCTATTATAGCCTATCCATAGGTAGTATTGCGATAATATTTAGCCAATCAAATCAGGCCTCTCGCCCTGGATTCTCCAACGTTCCTCAGCCTTGTGATTGCCACACATGATGCTGACCCGCTCGCTAAGTCGCGTGGCCTCCGCTCGCGCCATCCGTCCGTTCCATGCGTCCCGCCAACTCATGCGCATGGACGACTTCGATAGCATGTCGCGAGAGACCCCAGTGAACTTGGTATGGAGTGAATGCCGATGGGGATGACCTCATAATAGAATTTGTGCGTCGTTGTAGGGTGTCTTGGTTGTCCCGCAACAGCGAGCTGTGAGTCCACTTCGCCTCATCGATCGCTATCGTAACGGAGTGTTCTGTTGTGCTTAGTGGGTCGTCGAGCGCTTTGGCCGCTTCCACACGACGCTTGAACCAGGGTTGCACTTTCTTATCCCGGTGGTCGACCGCGTTGCGTATGTTCATTCCCTCAAGGAAGAAGCGATCAAGATTCCTGGGCAATCCGCTATCACAAAGGACAACGTGACCATTCACATTGACGGTGTGCTTTACGTGAAGGTACCGACCACTCCCCCTGTTCATGTCTTTATCGTGCTCTGCAGATCAACGACCCCTACAAAGCTTCTTACGGCGTGGAGGACCCCATTTACGCCGTCACCCAGCTCGCTCAGACGACCATGCGGTCGGAACTCGGGAAAATCACCCTCGATAAGACTTTCGAAGAGCGTGAACACCTAAACAAGAACATTGGTGAGTTCTCTCGTCGCCGATTCCTTCTGCGACAACTTCGCTGACGCTCCATTGCTCCTGACCAGTCGCTTCCATCAACCAAGCATCCGAAGCATGGGGCATCAAGTGTCTGCGATATGAGATCCGAGACATCGCTCCACCGACGTCCGTGAAAGCTGCGATGGACATGCAAGCCGAAGCGGAACGCAAAAAGCGCGCAGAAATTCTCGATTCCGAAGGTGAACGACAGGCGTACATTAACGTGGCGGAAGGGAAGAAGCAGGCGATCGTGCTGGAAGCGGAAGGTAACGCTGCGGCCATTCTGGCTCGTGCCGATGCGTCTGCCGAAGCCATCAAGAAACTATCGGCGGCACTGCAAAGCTCGGGTGGCGAACAAGCTGTGGCGCTGCAGATCGCCGAGAAGTACGTGGAAGCGTTTGGCCAAGTCGCCAAGGAAAGCACGACGGTAAGCCTGCAAGCCGTGTGTGAAGCGAGTGCTGGTTGACGGAAGTCTGCCTGACTATATAGCTCCTCCTTCCATCGAACGCGAACGATCCTGCGAGCATGGTCGCGTCCGCGCTCTCGATCTTTGCCAACGTGCAGAACAAGACAGCCCATTTGAGTCACAAGTCGTCGTTGCCAGGACATGACGGGGACTACGAACTGGACCCCCTTCAGCCTGACAATGACGGGTACCCTAAAGTGTAGAAGTATCAGCCTATAACCCTGAACAGCGCCATGGAGACCCCATTGTGATCGTCATGTCTGTGTTATGTAAAAGCGTCGCCGCAGCATAGCGCACGGGGTCATTTTTCTCGGTGGTAGGGAGTCATTGCGGTTGCCTCTTCCAAAGTCAACCAACGAAGTGGTGCTCTTCCTCGGTGGCTAGGATGACCCAGCCACCTACGGCAAAGAGGGACGTCGCGCATGGCTAGTTCGACCACGGTGGCACCTGCCCGCGCGCCATAACACAGACTGTCAAAGCGCGTCGTCGACATCGGTGCACCGAACCTCGACGTGCCTCTCCGAGTCCACTGTCCCGGGCGAATATTATTCCACATCGGTCAAAACAATGGTGCAGGTTCAGAATACATGAAAGGTTCGTCGGGCTAAAAGCCATTTTCGAGCGAAATTCCCATCGCGGATTTTTACCACTTTCATTTAAACCGACATTTTTTCAACAGACACCTGTCTCGAAATAGCCGGCAAATCAGCCATATTGGACAATATATGTCTGAATGAATGTGGAGGGAGAGCGTTTCGTCAAGCGGTTATCGTTGAAACGGCAGTTTCGGACGGTGGCCGAGATAGCGCCGCCCAGAATGTCGCTGGCGGTGGTCAACAAGGTACTGCGTTTGCCATGCGATGTGCACTGGCGATGCTTCGCTCCAATGTTGTTTGCGTAGCTTCGAGCGAGGTCGAACACGGTCGGGCGGCCGACACCGCCTACCCTGGTTTCGAACTCACGTGCGTACTTCCCCCTGTGAAAGCTCCTCATAACTTGAGTCCCATGTCGAACAGCTTTACCTTGTGCAACCCTGGCCAGGAAAATCAAGGCCAAGCCAGCTGACCCGCGCGTTCTACGAGCTCTCCATCGCAGTGACTCGATGGATATGTACCAGTTGGGTCCAGTGATCGGCCACGGCCGATTTGGCAAAGTTCGAAGGGCGACGCATCGGCTGACGGGCCAAGTCGTCGCGATGAAGGTGTACAACAAGGCCCAAGTCAAACATGATGACCACATCCAGCTCATACGAAAAGAGGTCGCTCCACGTGCTGGCAGCACAGGACCAAGCCTTCTCACCTGCCTTGCAGGTCGACATCATGAAAGAGATTGACCACCCCAACGTCGTCCGGCTGTACGAGATCCTAGAGACCCCCGAGTACATTTTGATTGCGATGGAGTTGTGCGAAGGGTAGGAGCCATTTTTCCACCTTGAACGAGTCCCCATCGCATGGCTTATCCAGTGTGTGGACAGGGAAGACCTGGGCAAGTACATCGCGAGGCGCACCCGAGTCAACGAAGGCATTGCTCGAGCAATTTTCACCCAGCTCGTCGACTCGATTTCGTATTTGCATCGCCAAAACATCATCCATCGCGATATCAAGGTGCGGGCGGTTCGACAACGTGTGCGGTCGTCCGAAGTTCACGTGTGGCTCGCATGCCACATCTGTGCAGCCCGACAACATCTTTATCCAAGACAGCGTAACACCGCCGATCGTGAAACTCGTCGACTTTGGGCTCGGGTCGCGAGATCCCGACCATTCAAAGAAATTGTCGGCGTTTTGCGGCACCCCTGCCTTCATGGTACGAACGCTCTTGGGCGAGATTGCTGCGTCGCTTGGCGGTAGGACTGTGGTCTAGGAAGTGGTTGTCGTGGGGTTGGATGTGTGCCCAGCAATTCGTGCCTGCTCCCCAGCAATTTGACCATGGATTCCAGCAATTCCAATGTCTTCAATATTCCAAAATGACATGCAGCGTGACGAGTCTGTCTCCACTAGGCACCAGAAATCATCTTCCAAGAGGCTTACGACGGCAAGTAAGTGCATCGAGTATGCTCTTCATGCAACTTGATGGTGCGGCAGACCCGTTGACGCGTGGAGTTTGGGCGTCGTGCTATACATGATGACAGTCGGGAAGATCCCGTTTGAAGCAAAATCCACGGATGCTCTGTACAAGAAGGTGCTCGTGGGGACGTTCGACCTGCCAGCCACCCTCTCGTCGGAGCTTCGCGACCTTTTGCAGGCGATTCTGGTCGTCGATGCGAATGAGGTACGACCGGAATGTTGCAAGCGACGATGGGTGATGGAGAAATGGCAGCGCATGCGTGTGGAGCACATTCGGCATCACGCGTGGCTTGGCATGGAGAACCAAAGTTCTGTGTCGTCCGAGGTTTCTTCGTCGCTCTTCGTTGCGGATGCGGCCACACATAAGGACATTCTTACCGAGGTATGTCAGAGTTCGCTAGTACGCAGTATGCTTGAATTGCAGCCGATGTAGATGGACGGATATGGGTTGAACCGCATGCAGTTGCACGACGATTTGGCGTCCAAGACGTACAATGCCTCCACGACGTGGTATCGCCTACTGCACCTTCGTCGTCTCAAGACCAGGAAAGCAGGTACTATGACTTACCGCTTAGACCTCGTGCGCTCACTCACGTAAAGCATGCTCCAACGCCGAGCCAAACGCGTCGGCCATCCTGAGCTCGGTCGACTTCAGCCGATTCCTCCAAGATCGCATTGCACAGGTCAAGACGGTGGGTTCCTAATTTAGGGTATTATCAACATCGTCAAATGGGTTGCAAGTTTACATCCCTAATTAAGCGATTATCCGGATGATTTCGGATACCTGACCGGTTTAAATTTCAAAATGACCAAGCAGGACGGCGGCGAGATCGCGATGGCGCCAGCCGCCGTCGACCAACCACCCAAGAAGAAGTGAGTGAAGTATCACCTTGCGATGGACGATATGATGGGTCAATATAGGCCTCGGACGGCTGTTTCGGGGGCTTCCAAAATCCCAGTCCTTCCATCGTCCACAACAAAGCCTGATTCGGTATCGGCTCCAGCTTCCACTGCGCCAACAGTCTCGACGCCGCAGTTTGCATTTGGAGCACGTATTGTCAAGGATTCAAAACAACTTGGATTGCCAAAAGATAGCAAGGTCAAAGAACCAAAGAAAGAATCGCTGTCGAAGAGGTTTGCCTCGAACTTGTAGTCGAGTCCTCAACGTGGAGGCGTCGGGTGGATTTTAGGCCATCGAATCCTGCAGTTGCGTATTTCAAGGACGACACAAAAGATGTCACGACCGATAAACGTGCTGCGCTATTGAAGCAAAGCAACGAATTCTTGGAAATGGCAGAGAACTGCAAGCTCAAAGCCGAAATCGAATTGCTCCAGTCCGTCATTGCGCAGCATGAAGGTGCTGCGTTCATGATGCTCTTGTGGTCATAAGCGATTCCCGACAGAACGCGACAAGAAGCGCACAGCGAGGAGCAAGGTGCAGTCGGGCGTGATGAAGTCGCAACAGGACCAGATCAAGGAGCTCCAGGATGAGGTCAAGAAATTGCACGAAGACTTCAGGAAGGCGACGGAAAAAGAGCATGACGCGACAGCAAAGCTCAAAGAGTCGCTTCTGGCTCAAGAACGGGTGCGTGGTCAGCTGAATCGCACGATGATAATGTGTGTTGGAAAACAGCTCAAGGACAGGCTAGCCAAGGCGGAGGTGGCACCTGCGCCATGTGAGCGCTGTGAATCGGGTGGTAGCCAAGCGGGGGGAAAACGAAGCTTTGTGACAAGGCCAGCGATTCACGCTCGACGTGCCAGCATCGCGCGAAACCTCAAGCGAGCGGACGAAACAGAGTACATGATGGCACGTCCTTGCGTCGGCGTTGACCTTTTTCCCATGCTAGAACGATTCTGCGGCAGCTTTTGGCGACGATTTCCAACGACGAGTAGCGCGCAAGACTCGACCGACTTCGAAGGGATTATTATTTACTGCAACAGAACTTTCGAACGAAGCTCTTCCTAGAAAATCGTCCTTCGCACGTACGAGAGAATGGAGCGGAGCAGCCCTTCAGCTACGACACGAGAACGGGGATAATCACAGTCCAGAGAACCGACGCAACGACACTGGTCGACCCGGAAATGGCCACTTGGGCATCCGCCATCGAGGTGTCCATGGCAGCGCCAGTCGTACTAGGCACCAGAGTGCCATTCGGGTCCGCGACTCCATGGGGTGGCTTGTCGCTGTGATCTCGACGCGGCAACACGTCTCCGTCAGGATTATTCGAGTGGTTGCCTTTCGTCCCGTTGCATGGACGATCGAAGGGTCCGTCGCGGCCGACTGTCGAGTTGCCAACAGTGTCATTGCGAAAGAACGGCCTGCTGTCGTGGGGCAAGTCGGTGCCGTTCAAGTCATGGGGGCGACGGGCGGTGTCAGTGGGGAGGCTGGCCATGGTGCGGGCGATGCAGGCAGCCGCGAGTACGAGCGACGTGGCTTTCATGGAGCGAATGGAGAGATGATGTGTCGGGGGACGCGTGTGAAGCCGTGCCTGGCGATGGACAGTCCGTTGTGGACACGGTGGACACTGCGTCTTGGACACGATGTGCATGGAGAGGCTGGAGCAGGTCGTGCTCTGAGAGACCTGCGCCTCCATGGTCCAACGTTGGAACGAATTCGTAGCGCATTCGTCCGGTCCGCCACACCTTCGACGGCATGTTTGACTGCCGCAAAATTTTCACGTCGCCACCGCGTGCCGTATCAGATCGACATGGCCGATCACTCATGTGCCCAACATCCCTTTGCCACAGCACGGCGCCGTGCAAACGCAACACGACCCGTTCGTCAAGCCAAGCTCCGTACGCGCATCAAAACATGTCCCGAGCTGGGTAAATAGGCTCACGCAGGCAACGGGCACGGCATTCGCCACCGTTAGACTCGAGGTACAGCCCCAACACCGCGAGGAAGGCGATGTGCGGCCGCACGAAGACAGGTGCCGCTCCCTCGTTTGTTGCCACGTACGCGTCGTCCTCTACTCAAGTTCCTCACGACTCCACGTGCGCTCGGCCGTCAGGCGAACCGATCGTTCACAAAAATGTCGTCCATGCTCGCTAGAACGGGCGGCGTTGTAGACCGTCCTCGCCCTTCGGAGGCACGTTGCAAGGCAACCAGGTTGGCGCTCGGTTACAGCGTCATTTGTGTGTTTTCCGCGTTGAAGGAGGTGCCTTCCCCGTCGGCTTGCCGATGGGGCGTCCGGCAGAGAGCGGCGGCATGGGCTCCGTGGTTGCGTTCACATGGAGCCACTGTGGCCAGCATAGACACGCATGCAAATGCATAATTAGGGCCTGCGCCCAAGGCACCCCTGTGTGCCGGAGAGGCGCATGCCGCCACCGCAGCGGTGCCTTTCAAGAGCGGCGACGCGCGCTTTCATTGACCCGATGGGTTTTCCCATCTAAACAGACAAGTGTTGAGTAGTATGCGACGAGCCCACGGCAGCCACCCATCCTGTTGTCGTCACACCGCCTCGTGACCGCATCCCGTGAGGCCGAAAACGATCCATGTCGGCCCTTCGCGCTGCGCACGGCAACGGACGGGCTCACCGCACGCAGCAGCCAGCATCTTGGAAATGTCACTCCTCTGCGCCAACCGCGTGAGATGAAGCCAGAGGCACGTCTGGCCACCAAGAAACACCCGCAGCCGCGCTCGTCGAATTCGAAGGAGGCAACAGCTTCTCGTGTCCACCCCGTGGCCCCCACCGTGCGCCACTTCGCAACTCGTTTCAACCTGGAACGAAACGATGCCATCGTAAGGCGACATTGGACAGTCACAATCCAAGATCCTTCATGAAAACCACTGGTCTCGTTCTCCTTGCTGCTGCCTGCGTCGTCGGCATCAATGCCGACCCCCCTCGTCAAGGGCCCCACCAACTCCCTCCACTGCATGAAGCCCCCAACACCCACAACACGTCGACTAGCGACGACATCCTCCTTCCTCCTCAACGCCCAAACGGGGCTGGCCCCAACGGCACCCTTGGTAACCACACCAAGCCTGACAACTCGACCTTCGATCACCCCTGCAACGACACCACGAACGGCACCGGACCCCACGGCGACCACACTGAAGACGTCGGCGCCCCCCGCCGCCCGCGCCATGATCCCCAAGGCAAACAACCCAACGGCACGAGGGGCCCGCAATCCAGCATCCCCGCAACCACTGCTTCCACGGACGCACAGGTGGCGGCGGTGGAAGCGGCTTCGTCCGGCGTTCGAAACATTGTCGTGTCGTTGGGTGCTGTGTTCATCGTCGGCGTTAGCGCTTTCGTCGGTTAAGTATAGCATGACCATGCAGTTCTCACTCGCGTCTCTCGAGTCATCTCAAACAGAGAGACCGTGCTTGCAGCGACAACCACATCGTGCCAATGGAGCCCGCGACGTGTTGAGGGCAGGGCGGCGGCCGCTTCGGGTCGTCGGTGTCGAGGCTTCAATTGTTTCAGCTCGTCCGTCAAAGCATTCGGCTGTGGTGTGACGCAGGGACCCACCTTGGGTCAGCAGTACTAGGTGCAAATCCTCTGCAGTCAATGAATGTTCAAGAGTTTTGGGGCGGAAGCGCTGGCTAGATCGTCGCGATTCCCGCCCTGCTCGATAACACAATTTCATGCGCTGCATCCCTCCACCGACGTTCTTGAATCGTGGGGGGGCGGTGAATCGAATGGCGATATCTATCGGCGACGAACGATCTCATTCAGTTATGGAGCCCCCGAGTTACGACGACAGTGGGGATTCTGCCAAATCCTTGCTTGGCAGCACGGTACCAAGCGCGGGACTTTCCGTCGATACGTCTTCGATGATCCACCGAGCGCAGCTACATCCAAGGCGATGCAAGCAGAGCGAGCACGACTGTGGCGACCGCGCTGGCATCGACGCCTCCAACGCAGCAGACGGGGGAGTCGGACGTGATGTCGAATGCCTCATTCATTCTATGGCGACTCTGAGCCGTGGTAAGTGAGCGAAGCGAACATACTTGCCAAGTGTAGTGTTGGAAGGTTGGTGGAATGGGAGAGGAGCTTGCGCCCATGTGATGTTTGCAGTCACGTTTCGATGGGACCTCGACGTGGGGTTGCAATCGGGGCGGTGTTGGGAGGGCTGGTGGCCTACCACCACTGGCAGCGGCGATGGACGACGCGAATGAAACTTGGGAGAGATGGTAGCGTAGACGAGTGTGGCGTTGGGGACAGTCGTGGCGGCGCCGGGAAGCCATGCGGTGCTGTTGCATCGGACATCGCCGTTGACCATTCGGCCGGATGGATCCACAGAGCATTTGAGCTCGTTGATGGCATGGAGCAATGCCTGGCACACGTCGTTTGCACACAGAGCTTTGATGTCGGTCGTGATAACATCCCACAGCGATCGCGTCGAAGGGCGACCGATAATTGCTCCACATCGCGATATTTTCGGCATCAGCTTGATCGTGTCCCACGTGGTGCACGGGGGCAGGGGAGTTGCCGACGTCAGCATGGTGTGGCCAACGCTTAGCAAGACGAGGACCACGACACGAATGGCCTTCATCTTTTGACGGCAATCGTGATGTGGAGATGGTCGGCGTGTCTGCGGCCAGCACAGTTGCTTTTACGGTAAGGGCGACGCACGAACACCCCCCCCCACCTCTCAGCCGTTGATTCAACTTGCAAGAGAGGCGCGGCCACGTATGCTCTGGGATGTCGGCTCCCAGATTGGTGTGTAGTTCGTCCAGAGACAGTTGCTCTTTGCAGCGCAGCCAGCCATTGCCAACTGCATCCGACGTCGTTGGTTCAG